AAATATTTACAATAACCGTAAACAAAAAGGTTTGGGAAACCACTCCCCCGAAGAAATGAAAAACAACCCTGACTTAGAGAAAGACTATATATTTAATAATTTAGTCAAAAGAGACAAACAAGAAAGAATGCCGGGCTTCAAACTTCAGAAAGGTGACAAAGTAAAAATAGAAATACCTAAACGCGACCCATATGAAAATACTATTGACTATGACAACAATGGGAACCCGACAGGTACTCACCTTCGTGTTCGTAAAAATAGAAGAAAGTATACAAGAGAATATTATGAATTTTAGGCAAACATGGCAAAATGTACAGACTGCAAGCAGAAGATAAAACTACTATTGCCAGACCTCGTTTCAAACTTGTCAAAGTTCAAGGTGGTATACTTTCAAAGACAGTTCCTAACAAATATAAGACAACTCCTGACGAATATGCTAAAGAAGTGGAACATGACGACTAAGCATTTCTATACCATGCGTAAACTGTCATGTAAGGTGGCATGTAGTCTTTACTTTGTCCCGTTGTTTGCGTATATCCTGAAACGAAATGTGTATGGTCTCCTCCTACCTCAGTGTTATCCAAGTAACAATTTATAGCAAACTGAACGTTGTCTTTAACATCATATCCTTTACCTTTTGTCATTCCTGTCCAATCCCAATATTTATGCCTATGCCCACCTTCTCGAGATGTAGTTAAACTTACGTAGTGACTATGTGCAGGTAAATTTTCACCTGAAATCGTTTTACTTCCACCTGTTTCCTTTGAAGAGTTTGCACAATACAAAAACCTGTCGACTATTTGAGTCCAAGTTCCAAAACCAAGTACTACTTCTGGTCTGGTAGAGTTCATTGACGTATAAATAGAGCCAACCGGGTAAATAAGATTCGGCAAAATTTGTTTAAGCACATTGAGTTCCTGTCTTCGATGTATAATACTATTGTCATTAGATATCAAAGTATCTACAAGACTTGTTGCCGGTGGTATTGTTGGAGCTTTACTTGGCAAGGTTGTGTTTAGTGTAATATCATCTGCTGTAAAAGTTGTAAAACTTGTATGTGTATGGTTCTTGTCTGCTTTCTTTTCAAGGCTAACGTTTAAGTCTGCTATTTCAGAAGATGTATGTGTATGTCCAACGTCACTTTTCCTGTTTAAGGTTTCTTGTAAGTTTGTTATATCAGATATAGAATGTGTATGCTGTTTTTGTGGATATGTTCCTTCTGTCCATTTGAAAATATATTCTTTTGTTGCATCTACATATCCAGCTATCCATGTCGAGTCTGCTTTTGTTATTCCTTAACTCTGTAACACCTTTCTCAAGCTCTTTCAACTGTTGTCCATCTTCCATTAAACTCTGTCATGACTTGAAACCGTTTGTGCCAACATATCTACAGTTTCTTGTCAGCTTTATTTTCAACGTCATCTTTTGTTGCATATGTTGCATCTGCTCTGTCATGTTCTTCTTGAACTTTTTCAATGACATATTCTTTGTCAGCTTTGTTGCCAACATCTGCTTTCAAAAGAAGTTCATTTATAGGTTTCTCGTTTAAAGTTCCTTTTGTTGGATTTATACAAACAGTATGGTTCTTATTGTCTTGAAACAGAAACTCATCTGTCATTGGGTTTAAAGTCAGTTTTAAGTTTCCTTCTTTCAATGACTCAGATATCTTAGAATAGTTTTGAAAAGTTTTGTGTTCTTATTTAGAGCTTGTATAATGAGTTGTCGGTTGTGTTGTATTTCTCTCATAACGCTGTTTCATTTGACATTTTTATTCTAGATAAAATATGCTTTCAATAGAAAAAGAAAAATTCAAGAGTTGCTACAACTAAACCATTAGATGAACTTTTTACGAATGTCGGTCAAAAGTTTGAGACAGAGACCGTAAAAGCATGAAGGCTATCGTTTTGACTACCCGTTAAGATGTTAAGAGACCCATCTGTCACAAAAGCTATTGGCTTTCGTAGAATGAAGTTCATTTCAGAAGCCATACATGGTTCCCATTTACAGTCGGTTTTGAAGTTCGATACTATAACAAAGAAAAACGTATGTATGAGAAATTTGAACAGGGAAAACTTTTACAAGTTAGTTTGCTTGTAAACTTAGAAACAACTCTTCAAGCTTTTCAAGAAAAAATAAACGATATCTATATCGAATATGCAAACCAGTATAACATTGACGAAGGAGAGTACCATCTCGATATTATATATGACAGGAAAAATGCAACTGTTAAAATCAATAGAATAGAAGACCTTGGAGAAAACGTTTATATTTCTACAAAATATAACAACTTGGCATGGTATAGATTTCTGAGGATGTTAAATCAGCCTGCAGAATATCCAGTACACCCGGACTTTTATGAAGTCGAAAACCCTAATGGAACATATGAAAATGTTTTCGACTCAGATGCTATTATAGTTCATGCTTCATTTTCTGGTGCACAAAACTCTTTTTTATGCTTGGCAAATGACTTTTACGAAAAACCTACAAAGTTATATGAACCGCCGAGTGGAAGTATTTCAGACTTTCAAGTATGGTTTACAACAGATGGAAGAAAGAGAATAGTTCCATTATACCATGCGTTTTACTTAGAACTTAGTTTCATATACAACTACTATCGAACGGTAAAAATATAATTTTTTAATACGGTTGAGGTGTTGGATTTGGTTGCCAACTAGACTGTGGTGCAGGTTCAGGCTGTTGTATAACAGGAGCTTGTTCTTCTGGTTCAGGGTCTTTAGGTATAATACCAACAAACTGACCTACTCTTTTACCAATATTTTTGACACCGTTCCAAATTCCTCTTCCGACAGATTTTATTCCATTCCATATACCTCTTCCAACTCTTCTGAAGAAGTTTCCAATACTACTGAAGAAACCCATTTTACTATATGTAAAAATCTAATGTCCGCCTAGTCTCTTACGTTTCCTGTTGAGTTCCATAGCATTCTTTAACTGGAGCTCATACATTCTGTTTCTCCTCTGGTAGAAAACATATTCTGGGTCAACTCCTGTGTTCGCGTCATCTGCATAAAGTTGTTTATATCCCACTTCAGGGTTTGTATAAAACTCTTTCCATCTCATATTTGCATACCATGGTGGCAAACCTAACGCAGCGTCATTTGACATGGCAGTTTGCATTTGTACATCTGTTGGCACTTGACCATAGTTTGCCATTGCAGTTTGTATTCTAACTTCATTTGGAATATTCTCTGGTTTGGTTGTCCAGGTTGCTGTGCATTCGCTAAGTTCTGTGCGTCCATTTAATATTAGATAAAAATATCTCTTACGAGTACATATGCTGAACATTTGCAGGCATTGGTTCATCTTCATATTCTCTGTACCTTTCTGCCACGTCAAATAAATAAATGACACAATGGAAAAAACCTAAAACAAGTAGTCCTATTTCAAACCACATTTACTTACTAGTAAAATTTCTTTGTTATGACACTTTCTCCGGTTTATAGGACCTCTCTCATATTCTATCTTGTCATATCTAAACTCATAGTCATGTATGTCCTCTAACCATCTCATAACGGTTTCCAAACCACTTTTATCGGATGTAAAGTAAAAGCATGGACAGTTATGTAAAACGTCTAAAGTTTCTAAAGAGTCTCTCAAAGTCCAGTCTACTTGGTATTGAAAATCCCATGTGTTATAGAACGGCGGGTCCACTATAAAGAAAACATTTTCCTTGTCTTTATATTTTTCATACAACTCTGTCCAATGACATCTCACAAACTCTATACCCTCAATATATTTTTCTATGTCCTCTTTGAAAACATTTGTATAGTTAAGATATAAAACGTTTGACATAAGTGTTTCAATGTCATGAACTCTTATAGCACCACTATATAATAGTCTAGCAGATATACTATCCCAGTCTATATATTCTGCTTTTTTCAAAACCTCTCTCACAATATTTTTGTTATCTAATGGTATACGTTCCATCTTACCTATAGGTATCTTTTCTTTTAACTCTTTCAATATATTGTTTGTGTCTGGTATATGTTTGAGACGGTCCATATAGTTGTCGAAGTCATTGCATATAATCTTTGAGTCTGGGAATATTGTATGGCACAAATGGGATATATAGAAACTTCCACCGAACAAATCTACAAATGTTAGACCATTCGGTAGTTTCTTAAGTTCTCTCAATAGAATATCTTTACATTTACTCTTATTTCCAAAGAAGGGTAACGGTGGTTTTGTAAAATTCATTTATATATAATAATAAAAATGTTTTTTCCTGAAAAGTGACAGAAAAGTGACAAAACATGAAAACATATATAATTTGTGAAAAGCGACACATTATATAATGTTTTCGACCCAGAAGAAGGCTTCTCAAAGTATACTTCCTTGGAACGCCTGTAACTTTTCCTGTAGCGACGATAGACCCTTACTTGTCCGGACAAAGTTATACTAAACATCTTCAGGGCTAGAGGGCACGAAGTGCCTGGAGGCCCCACTACCTTTTTTTTTTTTTTTTTTTTTTTTTTTTTTCAGTAATAAAAAATTATATTATGAATTGAAATTTTTTTTATGTTCGAAATATTTCCTATTGGAAATTACAGTTTCGTTATTAATGTGATCCAGATTCAAATTACAGATGAGCAACTTAATCATAATCATGAAGAATAATTGATTATATCTTGCATCTCAAAATTTTCAATCAACTTGCTTATTCGATTGAAAATAACAAACATCTCAAGAAAAGCCAAGATCGTAAGGATTACAGTATTCATAGGATTTATCTTTTCAGATATTTCTTTTGTCCATCTAAACCGTGAAAAGAGGATTCATCTGGGTACTCTATGATATAGATTTCATACCATATTGTTTTACGAATACAATTCAAGAACAATGCTAAGAATATTCTGAAAATTTTTTATTTGTTCACAAAAATCACTCATCCATGTGTAACTTAAATCAACATACTTATCATCTTAATAAAGTCAATTATTTATTGAAATGCGAAACTTGAAATAAAATAAAAATTAATTTTAGTCCTTAGCGATAATCAATTTTCCTGTAAAGTCGAATTTCTTAAGAACCATGGAGAGGTTACCGTTCAATGTCTCACGGAGAAGAGAAATCTTGATGGTTCTGAAGAAACCACTTTCCTGTTTGTTGACAGTGAATTCATGAGTTTTGTTTGACTCGACGAATGGGTTTTCTGATAGTTCGAGATCTTTTGTGTCGATGTTTGTCCAATTTTGTTCCTTTGGATCGTTTGTTACGTCGATTGACCAAGCTCTGAGGCCCTTGCAGTCATGAGGGCTTGTAAGAGTGTACTTTTCCATCTGAATCTTAAGGAATTGTGGGAGAGTGATTGTAACAGCCACAGAAGCAACTGGCTGGGATTTGAAGTATTTGTCGTTTTCGGTGTAGATGTCATCAAGCTTATATCCGATACTTGCAGCGACAGAGCACTTGGCACCGATGAGGCCTTCTGTAATTGGGTTGATTGCAGCACGTGTTCCACCGGCTGTGGAAAGGGAGTGAATAACGTTAGAGACGGAAATGTTTGGGACCTGTGATGGGTTCTTGACTGCTTTAACAAATTCAGTGAGAGTTTCTTTGGCAATTTCAGGAGTAACAACAAGAAAAGCACGAAGTTGGAGGAGAAGATCGTCCTGCTGGCGGACCCATCTTCTCATGATATCTACATAAACTCCATCTGAAAACCATGTACACTGCTGTACTTCATCCATTTCATCAATATTGAATTTTTGGAAATCAATCTCCTTGATTCTTCTCTCGCCTTCTTCAAGATCGATTTGCTTTTTGGTGACAAGATCAGTAATCTCACGGAACTTAACTAATTGGTCATTTGTGCTTAATGCCATTTTTTTAAAATGTCAAACCGCTAAAATGATGACATTCATGCTGGAAATTTTGGAAAAGAAAGTCTTAGATTTTTACGATATTCATAAATTTCGAAAGTGAAATGAATATATCGAATGGATTTCATATCAAATGATTAATATTATTTATGAACATTTTTTGAATTAAAAATAATCGTATGTAATGGAAAAAAAGTTATTGTTTGGAAAACAAATGAACTAGAAAGTAAATTTCATCTCATTAGAACAATAAGCAAGTATTATATATAATCATATATGGTAGAAATGATCAGCAGGAAGCATTTTTTAATGAGTCAATTGCTTCCGAATATTACTTACGATTTCATATATTAATATTTTGTCAATATTTGAGACAGTGTAGCTGACAAATTTAATCGATTTTACGAAATTTTGCCAACCAAAAATCTAAATCAAACTATGAGAATGAATGAGGGAATTATCTTACCACCAACGATTTTTCAGGATATGGAAGTATGCATTACCTGTTAATATTAGTCATAGTTCTAATTTGCTTTTACTTTCCTAATAATTCTTTCTTATATTTACATTATCTGTTTGAACAATAGGCAGCAAGGCTTAAATATCCCTTTTATAAGTAAAATGTTTTTCAACTTGTTAGTTCAGATGGCAAGGAAATGAAAGAAATACAACTTTTTTCCAAGCAAATAAGCTTGACGTCTGGGTACTTAAGAACTAAGTGATTGCAAACATGGGATCCAATGAAACCGGCACCGCCTGTAAGCAGGATGACGTGTGGTTGGTAATCCTCACTCATTCAAGATTAAATTTTTGTAAACTGTCAACATCTAAATTGAAGGCCATATCATAGGGGTGTAAGTACACCTTAAGGTTAACCTTTAAAAAATGAAAGAATAAGCATGTGATTTTTATATAAAACATTTATTATTAATCAATTCATTTCAAATTCTGATTTCGGATAAAATTCAATTAATTTCGAAAATCCTTCAACATTACATTTGTTGAGACAGATAGAAGATGTTTTTAATGTTTGGTTATATATTCGATCTACAACCTTTTCGCATTCCATCTCTCCAAAATAATAAGAATCAGTTGATCTTGTTTCAGCTAAATTCTTGGCAAGTGCATAATAAGTTAAGAAACTTTGGAATTGAATCATTGTGCAATCTCTGAATTGCAAAGATGTTTGATTTTTGAGAATTGGAAATTCTTCAATTGCTTGTTCAAATATATCCAGTCTGTATGGAAGAGCTACGTGAGCATAAGTGAAGTTTGGAATGGGATAATTAGGATATTTGTCTCGAACTAAATTTAATGCTTTGAACAGAGCATGAAAATAAATTGCTTCATTACTATCATTCGAACACCAATCAGCAAAACGAAGTTTTTGGGTAATTGGTTTTTTAGATCATCAATTTGAATAATTGGTGTCCCGCTATTAAAATAGAAAGATTTCGGAATGTATTTTATCCAGAATACATCATCATCTGTAATAATAAAATTATTTGCTAACCCAGGAATCCTTGATATTGCATATTGTATGGAATTGCTATTGAATATATTGCTTCCTTTTCCAAATAGTGCTTGATGCGAAACAAAATTTATTTTTGAATTGTGCACATTTATCCAATTTGGAAATTGATTATCTGTAATAATGTGGATCTTTCTGATCCATGGTAGATATTGATCAACAGTTCTTAATGATAATAAGAGCTCATTTTTTTCAATATATCTATCTGAAATATCTTCAACTTGCATTTCTTTTGGCTTGAATTGTTGAAACCGTTGATTCCATTCAGGATCAGATCCGTTGACCCATAAATAAATTAAATCTACGGATTAGAAAATGGAAACATACAACCCACTAGTAGAATAAACAGGTATTATGCAAGCTATGATGGAAACTACTAGTACAAATAGTGATTCAATTGATTGCATTAGGATGGGACACTTGCTTTACTAGGATGTTAATGTTTTCTCCATGACCAAACGGTCTGTATCGTCTTTCGAATTTTTTTTCAGGAGGCAAGGTTTTAACAAAATCTAAGTTTTGAGCTCTCAAAAACTGAAGCATACCTCTTGGAAAATTTGTAAATTCAGTGAATTTTTTTTTCTTTGGTTGAGAGACTATTTTTGAGAAGGTTTGTTATTAAAATGAAACGAAAGTTTCAACATAATTTTCAATGCTCGATTTTTAAAAACTGTTTAAAAATGGAGCTTATATTGAAATAATGTCACTAAAATTTTTAATCATCTTATTTTTAATAATTCGAAAAATTATTATAAAAAAATTTTAAATATATAAAAGAATTTAGATTTTGATTTTGGAAAAGGTTTTCAAAAATTTGCGATCATTACAAAAGTAACCATTTGAAAGAAATTCAATTGTGTAAAATTTTGCAAATTACCTCAGACTTTTCAGAGGATTGAGTGGCAACTCAATCCTCTGAAATAGTCTGTGGTAATTTTTAGTCTCTACACTATTTCAATATAAGCTCCATTTTTAAACAGTTTTTAAAAATCGAGCATTGAAAAGTGTGATGAGACTATGCAAATTTTTGCCGACTTTTCATAGGATTGAGCAAAGCTCAATCCTATGAAAAGTCGGCAAAAATTTGTTGTCTTAATCCCTCTAGAAAAAAATAGTTAAAATTGATAAGACTTTTGAGTTTCAATACTTTCACAAAAATTTGAATAGTGACAATGAAATTTTTATGATCAATTCAAATTTCTTAAGTTTACATTATATTTTTAATGGACCATGTCGCTGTGAATCTCACATAAAATTATAAATTGTTCCGCGTTATCATCGTAGTTCCATACCCAGTTGATGCTACCATGTTCTAACCAGCTATCTAGATCAAATCATTGAAGTTATAATTGCAAATGCGACCAAAAATCTTATCTCTCTGATCATTTTTATTGGATTTCATTCATTTAGTCATATTATAGGAATTTGAGCTACACTTAACTCAATCTTCAAAAAGGTGACATTATTCAAAAAAATCATTTTGCTTAATTTAACTAATTATTGTATTTTGTTCCATTATCTTTGATCTAAAAATTTCATTTCACTATTCAAAATTTTTTGTAAAGTATTGAATTAACTCAAAAGTCTGCAGATATCAATTTTAACTTTTTTCTATAGGGTTAAGGGTGCACACGAGAGGATCATGTAAACTTCAGAATTTAGAACCTTATTTTTAGGCATTATCTTGGCTACCTATTTAGGCTCGAAAAGCAAAAAATATCAAAAAATACAACTTGAGTCCATTATGACCCTTTCATGGAGGTAGTTTTTATCCGCTAGTATTTTCCCTTTGAATCTCTTTACAATTCGAAATCAAATTCAAAACTCAGTAGAAGAAAGGAAGAATCGACTTACTACGGTTGTAATACGAATAAATACATATATTTAATTATTTTTATTTACATAATAATTGTTTGAAGCTCATATTCCATCAAATTTTTAAATAAAAACATTAAAATGTTGAAAATGTTCATATATTTTAATAGGGTTTTGGCACTTTATTGAGGAATTACTACATACATAGTCGAACTGAACTTGATATTTTGAAATTTAAATTATTTATCAAAATTAAAATTTAACTTGAAATTTATAATTATTTAGTCATATTTTGCATAATTCTAAGTAGATTTTGTAAAAAATCAGGAAAGAAAAATTTTAACGTGCTTTATTTTTTCTTTTTTATAATAATACATATTATTATATAATTAACATATTCATAATGTTTCACCCTTTCAAAAATATAATCCTCCTCCTCTCAAATAAACGTACATACGGGTGGCCTCTTTTTTCAAAAAATTAAAATTTGAAATTTTGGGCTCAAATATTAGAGATTTTTTCAACCTTCAACGATATATGTTGTCTATATCAGACCTCCTTTCTTTTGATACTTAACATTGTTCCTAAATCTTAGCCGTTAAGGCTGTTCTGAAAATATTTTTTTTCGAAAAAATTCGAAAAAAATTCTTAAAATTCAAAAATCCCTTAATTCCTGAGGATTTTGGGAAAAAGTTTTTACATGAACATGTGTATATTATATGAAGTATATTGATAAGGTAAAAATCAAATTTTATTGCATATTCATCGAGAAAATAAACTAACGAATCCCTCAAAATTGAGAGGGTAATCCTCCTCCTCTCAAATAAACGTACACACGGGTGCACCCTTAAGACTTAATAATTTTCGAAAATTGAAGCTTTTCGTTCCAATTTTCGAGAATTAGAATTTTGATCAACTCTATTATGAGCCTATGTTTCTTTGCTAATTTGTAAACTTCAGAAAATTCAGTGTAGACACAGCTCAAAATTGTTTTGATTAAAAATTTTATTTATGTAGACGATAGTTGGCGAACATTTATGAAGGAAAATGATTTTCTCTTTGAAGTTTTTTTTCAAAAAATGTCTCGGAAAACCTGTTCCGTTATTATTTAATTTATGCACGATGCATTCCCATCTTGATTTTTTTTCACTTCAACAAAAATTTGAATCCCTTCATATCTTTATTCTATAACTTCAATGACTGCTATATTTTCATTATTTTTTCATTATATTTGAACTTTTTTCTGATCAAATCAGAAAAAATGCAAATACTTTTTTATTCGTTTACCTTTTAAATTTGAAATATCAAGTAAAAAAATTAACCCAATTTCAAATTTGAATGCAAATATATTCAATTTTTATTGACCCATCGAAAAAATTCCTTGCCTAACTTTTGAGGTGAATCTGAGAATGACCTCAAGATTTGGGTTGTAGTCTGTCTTTCAATAATGAAGAGATAGACTCTTAATCATTTTTGAACATATTATATCAATAAAAAATGAACTTCGATATCGCTGATCAGCGGGCGCTCAGTGAAAATTAGATAGATATGATAAGGGTTCTTTTGTAATGCGATATTCTGCAATTGTTGGCATTTTCAATCTAAATAAGCCGAATCGCAAATTCTAATTTCAGCATTTATCTGCTGATTAAGGCGAACATTAGAGAGAATGGCCTGAATGAGGAAGAATTTTCAGTCCAAGAATGCTAACTCAAAGCTTTATGATCGCATAATTTAGCTTTCCTTGAGTGAACTGCCTGGCAAAACTAATATCATAAGAATAGTATTTTTAAGTAATAAAATTGAATAGTTGTAAACAAAGCTTGCGGTCCGTTAATGCGTTACAGTACGAAGTAATTTTATTATCAGTTTTATTATTTTCGATCTTTAAAATCAAAACCCCACAGACTCAACTCACAATTCGTAATTGTCCTAATGAAAAATCTTTTTTTAGACCTACTTGGTGCTCAAGGAGGTTAGAACCTGTCGAACCTTGGGCATTTATTAGAGTTAAAAATGAAATTGTTACAGTTAAATCCAGTCTCGATTCAATTATTCCTGTTATAAAGAAAGGCGTTATTGTCATCGACCACTCAACAGACGGAACAGATAAAATTTTAGAAGAATTTGTCAAGAATAACTCCGGATACAAGCTGTTTTATTATCCATATGAAGTTATACCAACAGTTGACATTGCTACTTACGACAAGCCACATAATTTCAACAATACCCTAGCCGCATTTTATAACTTTGCAGCAAGTCATAGTTCTAATTTGCTTTTACTTTCCTAATAATTCTTTCTTATATTTGCATTATCTGTTTGAACAATAGGCAGCAAGGCTTAAATATCCCTTTTATAAGTAAAATGTTTTTCAACTTGTTAGTTCAGATGGCAAGGAAATGAAAGAAATACAACTTGCCTCATAAGCCAATGAAAGAAATACAACAATTGCCTCATAAGCGAAATCAATATTTCACCATGTGTTTTAAAATTTTCTTCAAAATCAATAGTAATTGAATCAATATATTCCATATTAAAAGTTCGGCTGTCATATGAATTGACCATTAATTATTTTGTCTGATGTATTCTGTTAGTAGATATCTGTGAATTCAAAAGGTAAAAAAAAGGAAATATTATGAAGAAGAAAAAATTCAATACAAACAAATAAACCCTTGCATTGTAAGGTCAAACAATTCATATGAAAGAAGTTAAATCTATGATAGAGAATTAAATTATATTTTTGTCATTTTAAGTAATCATCAAATATTATCAATGATATTGGTATAGTGCGACATATCGCCGCTTTATGTTTTTAAAATTATTAGTAAAGATATTGTATTTAGCAGCATCCAGACTTTTGGTTGACAGACTGGCCCTTGGCGATAGTAACCTGGCCGCCGTTTGAAGAACCAGAAGCAGCCATACCACCAACCTTCTTCTTCATAGACGTAGCCATTGTAATGAACATGTTTTCTACGTTAAGGGATTCCTTAGCGGATGTCTCCATGAATGGGATTCCGAACTGGCGGGCGAGAGCTTCACCTTCCTCTGTCTTGACAGCGCGGTCTGGAAGATCTGCCTTGTTTCCGACAAGGAGACGGCAGACATCCTGAGAGGCGTGGTTATCAATTTCGCTCATCCAGTGCTGGACCTGCTCGAATGAATCACGGTTGGTAATATCATAAACAACGACGATACCATTAGAGCCGCGATAATATGATTTTGTAATTGTTCTGAAACGTTCCTGGCCGGCTGTATCCCAAATTTGAAGCTTAATAGATTTGCCATCAAGCTCTATCTTCCTGATTTTGAAATCGACACCGATTGTTGAAATATAGTTGTCAGAGAACATATCTTCGGCAAAACGAAGAAGAAGGCATGATTTACCGACACCAGAGTTTCCGATGATAAGGACCTTAAAAAGGTAATCACTGTTTGTTAGAAATTAAATTATACTAATCATTAGCAGTCATGGATCCAATAAGTAAACTTTTTCAATCAAACCGTCGGATCGATGATTTTGGCTGTGGATTTTTATTTTTGTTTCCGCCGACACTCAGAATTGCTTAGAAATTTTGTATACAAAACGGAAGGTTTCGTAACTGGCCGGAGGAATATGTGAAGAGATTGATTAGCAAATTCGCGTAATTAATCGGCCATTTAACAAATAATGCATTAGATAGTATTTAATAAAAGGATTCGAAGGATCTTGTGGCATAAAATCTTTATCGTTCTGAATTGAAAGGATTTTTTTCGTCATCATTTCTTTTTTCTCATTTTTCACAGGCTTGACATTTAAACAATTCGTAAATCTTAAATAATTGTTTGATAACTTAATAGGCATGCTTCCCTTTTGGGGAATATGAAGCTGGTGGCTACTTTCTACAAGATATTCTATGCGGTATCAATATATTTCAGGTGAAACGATTTTTCGAGATTGTAAACGTGTACAATTCAAAACCGTTTTTAATCTTATCTGATTTAAAATAGCGGATTTCCTACAAAATATCTGTGCCAATGAAAATGATTGAAATTTACTATTATTCGGAATATTGCGTTGCATTCACATAGAGAAAGAGTGTTTCCCCAAATAATCATCTTTATTTTTTTACTAAATTCAATAGAGAAATAAAGTCTACTTCTCTTTATTTTTAATATCTAAGATATTCATAAATAAGAAATAATGGTTTGGGTGAAGTCTGATCTTTGTTAATTGAAGATATCGAATATGATTATTCAAATCATCTTATTGTAAGAGATATATAGATATATAAAATATGCCGACTATACACTTCAATTTGTCACATTTGCATCAGAGTAAGAGACTATAATTTCAAACTCTAGCTCGATATATTCTCATTCGAGCTTTATTTTTCAACAAAATGTAGTTTTAACACTTCACAAGCATATCCCTTACTAAAGTTTAGTATTTGGTATGTCATGTGCATGTTCTCTCATGTACTAAGTAAAAATAAGCCAATATCGTTTAGAAAGTATTGAGAAATACAGATGCTAAGAGATTAAGAATGAAGAAGTATGGTTATTTCAATCATTGTAAGCTTCCGAATCATGATTAGTGGAAATTTTCTCCAAGCAATGAAGAAAAGAAAATCAGATTTTTTGATCGGAAATTCATACAAATAACGGCGCTTTCACAAATATTATTTTTGATATTATATATGATTCACATAGTTATTTAAAATTCTGCAAGAAAAAAAATCTACTGAGATTTTTGAGGTTAGGAAGTTTTTCAAAATATCTGCTTATTATTGGATATCACACAGCCTCTCATTAAAATTTGAGAGGAGAGTCGACTCTCGGTGACAAAATTTTTATAAAATTGTCAGTTTTTCTAAATGTTTTTTGGACTTTTACTACAGCTGACGTTACAATCCCAACTAAAAAGAATGGTATTAGATTATGAGTGGGTTGGTAGTCTTATATCTTTACTTATATTCGTAGGTATTTGTGTTTTGGTTACCTGGTGCATTTGCAGATTTTGCTGCCATAAATGCACTCCTAAGCAAGATCATGTATTATCAGGTGCAGGACATAATGATCAACAGAGAGCCCAAACAGTGGAGGTTAATGTCAATACACAACCTCAGCCACAGTACTATTCTCCCGATCCAAACTACTATAATCAGCAGCAACAGTACCCACAGCAACCATATCCACAACAGCCATACCCTCCACAACAATATCCACCACAATATGCAGATCCATATGTACCACAGCCACAGCCAAATCCTGAAAATCCAAACGGAGCACCTCAATACGACCCTCAGCAGCCATACCAAGGCCCTCCACCACAACAATATCCTCCAACTTACTATCCACCTCCTCCACCACCTTCTCAGCCAGGCCAAGCTCCCCCGGATAATGATAACCCATACAATATGTAAATAGATGATTAATTTTTACCCGTCTTTGATATTTTAGTAAAATAAATATGAATTATTTTCTTAATCTTGATTTAATTTCACGACTCTAATCAGATAAGATCAAACTTTCTTTTTATCAGCGCGCGTATTAAACATTGACCTATAATTCTTCAATTTATTATTTTGATAAAATTTACTCTTATGCTGTTTAACTCCTTAAATAGTATAGTGTCTACCATGGAAAAATGTACTTCAATTCATAAACATAATAAACAGTTTTAGAAATATATCAATAATTTGTGATGAATAAATTGTTCATGCAAATATTGTATTCAAATCGATGTCGAAACTCTCAATTACACCTGGTGCAGCAGAAACCATTTGATAGAACTCATCATAATCTAATTTTCCACTTCCATCGTCATCATATTCATCAATCAATTGATCTACTATCTCATCTATTTGGGCATTCTCCAATTCAATCAAAGCATTATCTGCTATGGAAATTTTAATAACTTCTTGTATTTCATCTTTTGAAACAGCTCCTGATCCATCAGCATCATATGCTTTGAAGCACATTTTGACTTTTTCATCAAATGGTGCCCTTGGATGGAACTTATTAAGACCATCAACAAATTCAACAAAATCTATCTGACCGCTTCCATCAGAATCGATGATCTTATAAAGGATCTCTCCTATACTTTTATTCTTAATGCTAAGGTTCTTGCAAAAGCTTTCTATTGTAATCTGGGCTTCCTTTGTTAAGTTCCTGAAAATTTTTGCTAAAATGAAGACTTCCTTCTCTGAGAAGAAACTCTTGCTGGCAATCTGCTTGGCTTCATCTTCTGATATAAACCCTTTCTCCACGCATGAATGGTAGACTCCCATTTATGAAATAATGAATGTAAATTTACTTTTGATTGTTCTCAAACTTGTTATAGACCGAAAATAGATTTTTTCGGTTTTCTCTTCAAATAATTGAAAGAATGATACTATTATAGGTTTATTATATTATATTATATTATATAGCATATAATCATGCTATAGCCGAAAATTATAAGTTTTGAGAAGATTGAATATAACACAAATAAATTTGAATGTAAGTTAAATTGCTTGTTGTTTTTAATATCTATTTAATGAGAAATCCAATATTGCAAAATTCAAATTGAATGATTGAAAGAACAGAAAAAGTCATTCTTTTCAATTTCGAATATGTTTCATTGTATTTATAATTATATGGCAAATAAGATATTTAAACTTGATTTTTGAAGGAAAATTCACAAAATTGAATAAATTCAAATGATTTTTATTCAAAAATAAACTAGTTATTTGAGTTTAATACTAATTATCTATTCAAACTACAAAGTTTGTAATTTAAAATATTTTGTGAGATCAGATTGAATTAATTCAAGGTTCTTTTCAATTAATATTAATGACCATATTACGCATTTTCGAACATTCTAAACCAAATATATAAAAATGGGAGACGAATGTTAAATTTGCTAGACATGGGGAAGTTGTCTGCAAAGTTTTAGCTCTTATCTCTAACAAAAAATTAATTTTTAAAAAAATGACCGAATACGTTTCACAGCGAGAAAAAAATAAAAGGCAAGATAGAATTTTCTAGACATAAAGAAGTTGTTTACCGAGTTTTAGCTCTTATCTCTAACAAAAAATTAATTTTTAAAAAAATGACCGAATACGTTTCACAGCGAGAAAAAAATAAAAGGCAAGATAGAATTTTCTAGACATAAAGAAGTTGTCTACCAAGTGTCAGCTGTTACTTCTTCTCAATACTGATATAAAATAAAAATCTTTATTATTGATGAAATTATAAGTCATCTTTCTAATACATATTTTTGGAAGGGCGTAAGATACGCCAACTTAAATATATTATTAAATATGAGAAAATCGCTCAACAAAAAAACAATTCTTTCAAAAAGTTTAAAATTTATCTTTCTAATACATATTTTTGGAAGGGCGTAAGATACGCCAACTTAAATATATTATTAAATATGAGAAAATCGCTCAACAAAAAAACAATTCTTTCAAAAAGTTTAAAATTTATCTTTCTAATACATATTTTTGGAAGGGCGTAAGATACGCCAACTTAAGTATACTATTAAATATGAGAAAATCGCTCAACAAAAAAACAATTCTTTCAAAAAGTTTGACATTGATCTTTCTAATACATATCCTATGGAAGGAGTTTACATTCACAAAATAAAAACCGGTTCAAAATCTTATTACTCCTTGAATTAAAATCATTTAATTTCAAATCCATTCCAAATCCTTAAATCTGTATTAAAATCATTTTGCCAACAACCAACACAATACAAATTACATTTCCATATATCTTCTTGTCCATTTTAATTTTTTATCTCATTTTATTTAATTTTATTTAAAGCATATAGACATCGAGATCCTTTACACATAGTTATATAAAAGTCAAATACATAATAAGTTCTTAATTCTAGAGATATCTCAAAATCTCAATTTTTTAATTTAAAATACCTTTCATTTTTCACAGTACGATCACAACAAACAAGCCATTTACTAATTAACACATATAAGAAAAATATCAAATTACAAAACAACTTTCAATATCATTCGCATCGAATTCTATTTTTTCATAATTATCAACTACATGTTATTATATAATATATGTCGGCGCATATTCCACTCTATACAAGTGTCAGACACACTCACACAAAGCTGTGAAATTCATACCTCTATCAGTAGGACTTCTCAAATCAAGAACACATATGTTTCACTATCGCACATCTGTGTAGGATTTAATTAACCCTTTGGACTGGTACTTCAAAATTTGATAATTTGATAATTTCATGTGATATCATCATTTGCCTTTAAAACAACTGTGCGTTAAACTAGACACGTTTCTCTATCATAATGCAAAATATCAAAGTTTGGGAGACTCCCAAAGTGTCTGAAACTGATCATAAGGGTGAAAAACCGTTTTCCAGAAGTTGGGAACGTAGGGTATCAGAATTGAGAAGAATTTAACAAACTAAAGCAATACTATTCACCACTCATGAGAAATTGGATGATAAATTAGTCTGATTTCAATAAGTAATTTATAATTTTTTTTTTAAATTTAAATAAATAAACAAAAAAACATTTTATTATAGAGGGTGTTCAATGAACAAAGCTTTCCTTCTTCCTCTTGTATGTCCGATCTTTTCCAAGTCCTTCAGGTTCATTTTGATTCTCTGAATGTAGTAGAACTCGATTACGTCTTTCACAGACTTCAGAGGAAGGGCTGCAGCGATTTTCTTGAACTGCCGAGGATGCTGGGCGTATTTTTCCAGGAAGATTCTGATTTCGCTTTCTGTCCACGAGATTCTGTTTTTATACTGTTTGTGTTCTGCTTCTGGATTCTCAACGAAGTTGTTCTCATCAAAATAAAGCTCTGCCTCTTTGTCTGCATCTGATAATAGCATTGGTTGGTCAGGAGCACAAAGAGGAAGTAAAATTGACTTGTCAGTGGTCTTAAGTTTGTTGACAGCGAACTCTGGTGGCCACAAATCGATGCTTTCGTGAGATTCGTGAGTATATATCGACAAATTTGTATTAAATTCATTCCACGGGATACTCCTTTGCTTATATTCCCATGCGAGTTGGATTTTTCTATGTCTAAGTAAGGCCTTTTCCTGCATTATAACACGTAACATCGGATTTATGTTTGTTTCTTCGGATTTCATCTCTTCGCAGTATTTGGGGAGTTGTGTGATATGTAAATATTTTCTACGTTCAACAGGAAGTTTGTATTTCGCATGGCTTTTCGCAATTTTTTCTGAATTTGCTTTTTTGAAAAATTCTATTGGATTATGAGGTATTAAGAATCCATGGTAGTTCTGTACATTAGTTTCTGTCTTGATTTCAGAGGTTTTTGACGCTGATAAGAATGAAATTTCTAATTCGTGAATATTGACTTGCATATTCTGCTTAAGAATGGCAATTTCTCCATCAATTCCATCTATTAATGCTCTTATTTCGGATGCCGGAGGCAGACCTGGGTTAGGAGCAGCGCAAACTGGAGTTGGAGGAGGAATTTTTTGTTCCGGTTCTGTTTTAGGAGGTATTTGGAATGGGAATATGATTTTCTGCGCTTGTATTGTCCTTGCGGCTGCCGCAGCTGCAATTGCTGCAGGATTTGTATTCAATAACGAATTTTGCGTATTCATGAGGAATTGAGGGAAAGAAACCTCTTTGGGAGGTTCTGTATTGATTGGCGGGAATATTGGTTGGTTTTGGGGAGGAAACTGCTTAAGTAAAACCTTTTTTTGAACTTTTGGCGCTGGTTTCGCTGCTTTGCTTGCTGTTTGAAGCAGCATCTGTAGGTTCGATACAGGGTTTGGTGGAGGAGGTGGTTTTGCGGCTGTATTGTTAGTTACAGTGTTGATATCAAGATGCTGTGCCTTTTCTAAAAATTTTGGAGATTCAAGGGGCGGAACATCAGACCTAGGTGTATTAAGTTTAGTTAACACAGCTCTATTCTTTTCTGTAACTTTTGGAATTCGAACTTCGATTTTACTGGGAACAAATGTTTCAACATTAAAAATATCTTCAGGAGTATTTTCTACTTTTGGTTTTACTTCAACTTGCTGTACAGGTGGAGGCTGTATGGGTTGAACTGGCGGTGGAATTATTGGAGGTTGCGGAGGAGGTGGAGGAGGGGGCTGAATTGTCTCAACAACAGGTGGATGATGCTTTCCTGAGTATTGTTTTGGAATTGGAATACGAATACTGGTCTGTAAGGACGAAAAATTTAAACTAATCTTATCTTGACCTCTCTTTGTCGTTTCTGATTTTATTTTTTCATTCGGCGGATGAGCCTTATGTACCTCATGTGGTTTTTGTGGATCTTCATCTCCTTTTGGAGATGTCGACTTCATTAAAAAACTTAAATTCGCAATTGAGAAAAACCGCAATAGAAAGCTCTAAAATGATTCACTATATCACGTCATTTTGACGTAGGGTCTGTATGAATGTGATGAATCAAATCTTTTCCAAATAGTAAATCTTGATGATACAAAGAATTACAAATGAATTGGATTTAGATCATTATAAAATTCTTGAATATTGAGAGTATATCAATTTGCAAGTCTTCAATAGTATATTCCAGCATTGTTAATTTGTTCTTTATGATTCTTTATGACAAAATTGCTTAAGCAAAGTAACTCATATATAAATTTGGCGTTATCAATATTAAATACTAGTTTATTCACTATAAACCTCCTATTGCTTGCCTTTGTAAATCATTTATATATGAATTAGCAAATATGCATAATTATGTAAGGCTTCTTCATTATGCATAAGTTCACTGTGCTACATAAGGGAATTATTTATGAATTTCAACAGTGTGTCAAGATAAAGGCCATATAATGACCATTAATTAAAAACATCACTATTCAAACCTAATTATTTAAGATATTTGATATAGAAATTGTATATTAAATGAATTTTCCTATCATTTTGCTTATTCGAATATCATAAAAAATTCCAAAATAATTTCAAATTTTAAAATTTAAATATAATTTTAACATTTTTTCAATTCAAATCTAACCATCATTCATATACCGGGGGGGCAAATGTCGTTTATTTCGTAATTAATATATGTAGCTTGGCCTATTAAGAACTTTTGCAGCCTTGCGATGCTTTTAGAACAATCAGATTGATTTTTGTCACTTTTTTAATTGAAATTAACCTCTTTTTATAACATGTTTTAAAGCTCTGGATATAATCAAAATTTGATAATCAATATCAAAATTTGAAAGGAGTTTTGACCAGAATTAGCCAAAAGTTTTGAGGGGAAACTAATTTTCTATTGTTCTCTGCGGTTTCTACCGTATGAAATTGAATAGGGTAACAATCATTTCATTTTATAATGTTTCTTTTATTAGCATCATCTATACGCTCTGCAACCCAAAGAGCTACACCATCATACTGGCTGAATAACTGGGACAAGAGTAACCCAATCATCGCTATGTGGAACATTGCTCAGATGTCTTGGACAGTTCAACCAACAACACATCCAGGTATTAATCACGTTCGTGCTTACACAGAGAAGAAACGCGATGTTCTCGTTGCCGATTCTTTTGCTCTTAAAATCGATGGAAATCTTTACGGAAACGATATGCTCTTAAACAACACACACTTAGCTGGTGCAGTGCAGGAAGTCGATGGAGAACTCTGGACAGAGTACACTCACTACAAGACAAACGATCTTCCAATTTCAGTTCGCCGCTCTTTCTACATGCCTCCATACGAAGAATACTACCTTGTTAAGTACACAATCAAGTCAAGAGATGGCAACTCCCACAAGGTCCAACTTCTCGACTACGCCGTTTCTGGCTCTGATCCACAGTGGTCATTAGGCAAATGCGCTGGAAATACTTGCGGAATGAACCGTGATGCAGCATACATCGCATCTGCTGTTTTCTCCCTTGATTCTAACCATGATCCAATGTCAACAATGGGTAATGGCAATTTCGCTGACAACACAAACCCATTAACTGCATTTGCAGCATCAGGAACAATCCCATCATTCCCAGAATACAACCAACAGACAATTTCCTTCGGAGCTCTCTACGAAGTTAGTGTTTCACCATCTTCTACAGTTACCATCTATTCCATCCGCGCATTCGGCCGCTCGTACACCAACGCTCGCTTGACAATGTCGAAGGCCCAATCATTAGGATACGAACAAATCATCAAATTAACTTCCGACCGTTACTCTGCATTCCTTGCTAAGGGTGTCCAACCATCACTTACAGGAGATGCTCTCGACCTCTACCAGAAGTCAGTTCTTGCTCTCAAGAACTCACAGAACCCAGAATTAGGTTTAATTGCTTCTTCACTCCATCCAAACTACGGCTACAAGAATTGGATGCGTGACTCCCTCATGGCCGCCTTCATGCTCGATGCTGCTGGCTACCACGACGAGTACAAACTCTTCTTCAACTGGGTTGACTCTGCTGAGCTCATGGAAAACGGCGGATTCCATACAACATACGATACATTTACAGGCGAACAAATCGGCTTCGTCGAACCACAGTACGATGCAAACGGTTTATACTTGGTCGCATTAAATTACCACTTAAAGACAGTTGGCGACAAGGACTGGGTCAAGTCAAAGCTCCCAACTATCAGAAAGATGGTTGATTTCCTTAACATCAACTCCGGATTCCACAATTTACCTTTATCTGACAGATCTCCATGGGAAGAATCATCAGACCACCACACAAAGGAACCAGTTCCAACACAGTGGTACGCTTACGAGATGGGCTGCATGTACGGAGGCATGAGAGCAGCTGCATCTCTTGAAAGACTCATTGGCGACCAATCAAGAAGCGATGCAGACAACCAACGCGCTGCACAGATACAGGCCGGTGTTAAAGAAGCTCTCTGGGATTCAAATGAGAAGAGATTGTACAGAGGAGTAAGAGATGAAGGCAACAAAGAACCAGATACACGTGCTGACTCTGCATCAATGTCATGCGTTTACTTCGGATTGATCCAAGGCGATGAAGCACTTTCTCACCTCAACTTCATCACAAGTAAATTAACTAAATTGGTCGGAGGAATTTCCAGATACGAAGGAGATCCATACTTCTACGATTCTGTCTGGAATCCATGCGGTGAAGGCACACACGAGACACAAATGGCTGAACCAGCATGGCCAGTTGTCACTGCTTACGTCGCTTGGTCAGAGCATTTGTTGGGCATCGATATCTCTAAGCGCCTCCAATGGATGGTCCAAGTTGCTGCTTTCGGAAACATGCCAACAGGAGAAGGCGTCGACGCAAAGGATGGTGCTTTAATTGTTCCTTCCGCTCCTGACTGCTTCGAACACGCTGGTGTTTACGTCTACACAACACTCCTCAAACAAGGAAAGGCTCTCCCATTATATAATACATTCTAAAAGTAAAAATGTCACTATATTTTTATATTTAGCATAGTTTTTGTTCGTAGTTTAATATGTATTTTAATGAATTATTGGTTTGTTAATAAAATTTTGTTAATTTGTTGTTCAATGAGTTGTTTTATTGAAATATTTGGTATCTGCTCTTATTTCTATTCTTCTCATGGTGTTGTAAATGTGGATTCATTGGTTCTGATTAGATTTGGCTTGCTCAATTCTCTAGAGTTTGAGAATATAATTTTTTTTTTATAAATCTGGTTTTATGCAAGGGCAATGGAATCTCAGCCAAAATGAATTAGCTGAGGTTGAGATCATCCAGATTTGCATCACAGATGAATACTTGGATGATAATCCCCTTGCAAACCAAATGCGTTTACTCATTTTATCACATTCATTGGCAATACGGAAATATTTTGCAATATTCCGAGATAAATGCCCCACATATTCGAAATACCCAACAGATTCATCAACTGTGCTGATTTTCAGAGAAAAATCAAATCAACCGGTTGAAGATATTCCAGATTGGTGTGAAATAAAACAATGGATATGGACCCCTCGATTACTATTCACCAATGAAATCATTACCGATTTTCAATACGCAATAACGTTGAAACAATTTTATGATTTTCGTGATTTAGATGTATTATATTTTACATCTTTTATCATGTTCAATCAAGGTAACGCAATACAAGATAATATATTATATCAAACAGTTCCTATCCTTCGAAATAACAAAATTTGTTTTAGATCTCAAGTTCAAGGCAATATACAAGCAATAATAGACGCGCCAATATCAATTCTAAAAATACCAAACAAGCAGATATATGTATTAATGCCTCCTTTTCAAAATCCGTTTCTTGTCAGTGAAATTAATGGGAAAATAATTAATTTAATTTCAATAAATAAAGAAACAACAGAAGTAGATTCATCCAAAGTACGACTTGTCAAGCTTACAGCCCCTCCAATCGTAATGCACAAATATTTTGATTATCCTCCAAGCGCTCACGATCCAAAAACTCAATTTCACTCATCTGTGCAGCATTCTAAGAACAAAATATTTTGCGAATTTCATACAGAAGAGCATATAAATTTTACAGAAGCAGATATAAACGAGTTTTTTAATTCGAATCCAGGAGAAGACACAGATACACGCGAATATATGAGTATAGATTTCCCTTCACCCACAATGGATAGTTTTATTGATTTTCAAGAGCCAAATCCAGAATATCGAGAAAAGATTGCGGAAACACTAGGATATTACTGCTTCCCGCCATCAGTTAAACATGAAACAACTCTCCCCGTTGCTTCTTTCCTCTCATTCTTCAGATTTGACTTCGGATTTGGATCTCCAACCCCTCCAACTTTTTCCAAGATCATCACACCCCCTTCCACGCCATTCGAATATGAGCGCCTTGGCATCCCGAACCTCCTCGTCAACCACAATGGCTTCAAAGACACAGTTCCAGCAGATCAAGTTATTACTCAGTGGGAATCCCAGATTTACATGCCAATTTCGGGACCAAAGAGCGGCCATTTCGTTGTTTTCTGCGACAAAGCTCGTGGTTTGTCCAAAGAAAATCTCGAATCTTTTATGTCCATGTTCTGCCACCAGTACAACCAGTTAAACTTCGGCAACATCTCAGAGTATCCCAAATGCGACCCGTATTTTTTCACAACAGGCGCAGGAATGGTCGATATCATTGACAAATTCTTTCAATCCGAAAATGTCTCTGAATTTCAAACCGTTCCGATTCTATCGTTCATTTTTGGGGTCCCTATTTACGACCCCAAATTTGTTCCACGTTCCATTCTGACGTACATCAGGACAGGCACCGTTGCGAGTGCAAATGAAGAAGAACTGAAAACACTTGCATTTGTTGTTTACTCAAGAATCAGAACTATGTCATCCGCACCTTACGGAATGTACCACATTACTACTCGAGAGTCAGCCACGCTGTTTTTCGGGTTCAGGTACCAACCACCTTTTTTGTTGCCACATGATGACACTAAACCCGCTTATATACACATTGCATGGGATCCTAAAACACATTTAATTGCATGGATTGATTGTATTGGATCAATTTTACAAGTACAGCCTGTTGACAACATAGAAACGATTATATCGAGAATCATTGATGTCTCGCAGTTGTTGTCATCACATCCTATCAAGTTCACATTGACTATTTTGGCCGAGAACCTTCAGAATCAGTTGCTAAATGAAGTGAAAGTGAAAATGTCAAATTTCCAAATTGCTGTTTTTTCATGTTTCACTTCACCTCAGATACAAATCAACATTCCAGACTATATAAAAGACGACATAATTGTTTTCGCACCGCCAGAGACACAGTTCACACTGGAGAATGATATTGCTGAGCCATTGTCGTCTTGTTTCGTGATAAGTTCCACTTTGCCTCCTTACCAATTATCTGTTTACCAGTGTTTTGATGATTTACCAAAAGTTTCTTTGAAAAAGTTCGCTACGTCTATGTCCATGCTGTCGTGGCTGTCGGTGAAACCACACTGCGAATTGAGGACTGTTTCTTCCCCACCTCATATTTGCGCTTTGTTGAGGAAGAACAATAATTTGACTGACTTGATTTCTAGATATGAATTTTTACCTATGGTAGAGAAAGTATAAATTGTTTTGTTTATTTTTTTCTGTTTTAAAATAATTAGAGCTATTTTTACTTATGATATCATATTACTATGTGTAAGCTTATGGATCAAATTTATAATAGACAGCTTCATTCATAAGATGTTTTTGGCTCTTATTAATTAGAAGTTTGTATTTGATAGGCTGATACAGTCTATATGAAATACCTGCTGATTCTAATAGAATGATTCTTTTAGATGCATTATTTGAGTTTGATATTATTTCATCTTTCGAATTCAAGTTCCAATTTATATTGATTTCATGCGAGCTTAACTAGTTTAAGTTGCTCTTATTAGATATGAAATAAAATCAAAATGCGATATATCATAGGGGGAGATACCATTATCACCTTTTTTATGAATTTTTAGGATTCGTTTTTTTCTTCAAAAAAATTAAAATCAAATGCTAAATGAGGAAAACAAGGCAGCTTTTCAATTAATTAAAATATTACATAACTCAGGACGTCCAAAAGACACAGTTTTCTTCCTTCAGAAGATGGCAACAGCAAAAAAAGAATTAGATGATGTTTTTATTCCAATTTTTGTTCAGGCACATAAAGCTTATACAAATGAAAAACGTAATGCAATCAGAGTTATTGACGAATTAATAGCTAAAAAAGAAATTGAAGATGAAAATTATATTGCTCAGCTAGAAAATTACAGACAGAAGAAATACGATGAATTGTACTTGATATGTGAAAGAACTGTAGCACTTGTAGACAAAATTTTGATCCCAAACGCTCCTACACAAAGAATTAGATTTATTTACTATAAAATGAAAGCAGATTTCCTTCGATATCAAGCCGAATATGCCAAAACACAATTACAACCATATTTCATTACCCAAGCTGCAGACAGCTATCAAAATGCTTTACTTATTGCAAAAGATCAATTTGAACCCGAAAGTATCCAATATTTAGGTCTCGTTTTAAACTATACTGTATTTTTGTACGAATTCAAAAATATGAAGGTAGAAGCTATTAAATTCATTGAAACAACGTTAGATATGGTAATGCCAACAATTTACGCCAACCAATCGAAATATGCTGACTCACAACCATATGTGCAGATGCTTCGTGATAACTCTACGCTTTGGAGAAGAGAAACAGACCTTCCTGAAGAAAAACCTCCTGAACCAGAAAAGAAAGAAGAAAATCCTGATGGAAAAACAGAAAATAAGGCAAATGATAATAAAAACGACCAAAATAAGGAAGAGAAATCAAATACAGAAAATAATCAAGAAAAACCAGCAGAACAGAAAGATGAAAAACATCCAGGAACTCCAGAGGGAAGTCAATCAAAGAATGAAGAAGCTCTGCCACCTCAGGAACAAAAGAAAGAAGCTTCAATAGAAGATATCATACAAGAAAAGCATACTGCAGAGGAAAAACATCAAGAAAAAGAAGTTAAAGATTCGGTTCAAATCGTTGAACCCACAATTGAACCACCCAAACAACAAGAATGAAATTTATTTTTGTTTAGTTATAAAATGTTTGATTTTACTTTAACTATTGTTTCCTTTATAGTTACGCTAACTTGAATTATCATATAAGACTTATTGTATTGGAAATGTTAAGTTGAAAATGAATTCACTCTTTGATAAACAATGAGTGTTACATCAAATAAGATATGTTTTGTGTAGTTTATCAAGTGTGGTAGCCAATGCATTGAATTTATTTGATCATCTCATATCCGAATTCCAAATTTCCTGTATTTATACTGTAATCGTAATGACTAAAATAGTTTATCTGATCTTTAAATAAAATAAACATCCTAAATAAATGACGATTTTATTAATCTTAATTTTTTTTTTGAAAACAGAAATCTTTAATAAAATATTTACCTAACAATAAGTTGGCATGAAGAACAAATTAAGCGGGCCTTGGGGATGCGGTAACAATCGTTGGCTCCTTTGATTGGATGATAATTTCGTTGTTACTTAAAAGACTCGTTGGGTGAATTGGCTGAGGAGGGACTATTGGCGGGAACTGCGTTGAAGGAGTCGGGATCAAGTTGGTAGCTGGCGCGTAGGTTTGGGTGATAATTTCTGTAAGTTTTGGCGGTGTTGCAACCTGGTTGTTGAGTTGCCTTACAGTCCATTGGCGAAGCTCATTGAAATTACCTTCAAACTCGGGAAAATATTTTATTAATTCTGCGGAGGATTCTGTTCCATTTGGAATTGTACCGTATCCGAGTGTCTGGAATGAACCATTGATGGAAGATTTGCATTTGGAAAGGATCAATCTGAGTTGACGAGTATTAATTGCAATTGAATTTCTGAGCCAGCAAACCCCACATACTAAGGCTCTGTCATGGTCACGGCCATCTCCACGAACAACAAACTTCTTTATTGCTTCCAAAATATCATTAAACGTTTTTGCGCTTCTATTTCGGCGATTTTTGCATCTCGGTGATGCAAGAGTCTGCCTCAGATACTTATACGACATCTTATCTTGTTCAGTGAGCAAATCCCAGAATTTAGGGCAGGGGTCTGGTGATTCGTCCATTATAAAGTTTACAAAAACCGCATTTTTTGGCGGCAAATTAGGAGTTTTTGGCAAACCCAAATTTTAGCTAAAAGTGACAGGAAAAAAAAACGTTTAGTATTAAAAAAAAGACCGATGAGAGCTTCGTTCGAAATATAGAGGGAACTGAGAATGCGCAACCATTCTCAGGGAATATTGGATGCTATTCCCGTTCCCTCTGTATGGAAAATTGAGGTTTTCAAAGGGAGTTAAAATAATATCAAATTTATACTAATTTACTTCAAAATACAAAAGTATTTGACAGCTAAAATTAGTTACTTTAGCAAGCCTATCAATACCCTTTTACGATTATTGCTACTTTTTCGAAATAAAAGTAAAAACAAATTTATACTAATTTACTTCAAAATACAAAAGTATTTGACAGCTAAAATTAGTTACTTTAGCAAGCCTATCAATACCCTTTTACGATTATTGTTACTTTTTCGAAATAAAAGTAAAAACAAATTTATACTAATTTACTTCAAAATACAAAAGTATTTGACAGCTAAAATTAGTTACTTTAGCAAGCCTATCAATACCCTTTTACGATTATTGCTACTTTTTCGAAATAAAATAAATTTATTATCAAAAACCTTTTTTTTCTTAGTAAAAATAAACGAAATTTTTTACCTTATGAACTTTTGATGGAAATATGCAAATTTAAAATAATAAAGAAAGCCGCGAGCGAAGCGATCGGCTTAGTTCGAAGATTTTGATTCAAATCTTTGCTGATCTGTAATTCGCGGAAGCCGCGAGCGAATCGAGCGGCTTAGGTCTAAGATTTTGATTCAAATCTTTGCTTATATTCCTTAAATTCTTTATGAAACTCGCAACAGTTCCATAAAAATTTTAAATTCTAAACTGTCGAAATTACCGATCGGTAATCACACCCTTCACGGGTGTGTCACTTTTAGCTAAAATTACCCCTACTCATGATCCTTTGACAAAATCTCCACAACGAAATCTCTAATTCTAAGAAATATGACCAATTAATGAAGTATTAAATAAATACACAAGAAAGATATCATGATCAAATAGTTTATATTAAGAAATTAGGATAATTTTGATGAATTTTTAAATTTTTTAGTGAAAAAGTTTTTGATTTTTAATACAACAAACATAAAATTGCATTTTTATAGAGAGGGGAATAATACCAAACAACATATTAATAAACAAATAAAAAATAAAATAATATAAATCTATAAAACATAAAAATAAGTTAGTTGAGCTTCTCAATCAAAGGTTTGAGAACACTCTGTACTTCCTTAAGTGACTGTATAACTCTCAAAGAGTCCAAAACGTGAGTTCTCTTCATTTCTAAAACAGATTGAGGATATTTCGACATATTCGACAAAGCAATCAGCGAATTCGGTGTCAGTTTCTTCATAGTTCGCACCTGAGTTGCCAACGATGGAATACAAATGTCGAAAATATTAAAATACTTCATTCGAAGGAAAAGTGAGATGACCAATGATCCGTACTCGACCACAGAGGACGATTTTGTCTTGGCAACGCGTAGAGCGAGTGTTTCCAAGGCACCAGATTCGTCAAATGAGTCGGCCATGCCCTGTTCTAGGTTAAAGTGGGAGATAATCTGGCACATGACACAAAAAGCCTCATTGTCGCCGAATCTGAAGATGGAATTTGTAAATTTCGGAAGAATCGGGTGGTTCATGAAGAAAGCGAGGTGAACTCTGAACAAAAGTACGATCAGAGGCATAAGATCAGGCGCTACATCGTCAGAAATCGAAAAAATGGCCGAACATATTGCTTCTTGAAAGTAAACTTGAATCGCTGAGGCTCCTGCTTCAAGGGATGTGTCTGCGAGGGCGAATATAAGCAGAAGAGCCCGGTTTTGGCGGGAGTTCAGGTAGCATTTCAACAATTCCAAGACAGTTTGAGAAACTTCTTCGATATCGTCAATGTGAAGGGACATTCTGAGGGCTTCTATCGCTAGATTGACGATATTTGTCTCTTTTCTCTGTAAATGTTCGTAAATTAAGGGAATTGGGATGTTTATGGACCTTGGATAGCAAGAAATGACTTGGTACGCGGTCACAATGTTATCAGTGACCTTTGAGTTCAAGTATTTCAAGCAGACAACTCCGAGATCGTAATCATTTATCGTTTCTGTCTTATAAACAACGACAGTCTTAAGAGCGAGTAGTCCTGATGGCTCTGATATGAATTTGTCTGATGCTGAGAACAAGAATTCGACAATTTGAGACTTTAATTCTTCATCTTCTGTTTTTTCTATGATTTTGCACAGTATTGTTATGGATTTGAACCTGTCCTCAGGCGTAGATTTGAGTAACAACACTTGCAGGTGCATAACGAACATTGTATCTGCTACTTCTGGATAATAAGTGATCGCATAAAGGAAAATCTCAAGAGATTTAGGTGACAAGTACATGTATGGGTTCTGTACTTTCACAATATGCTGCAAAAGAGACCTTTTCTTTGCAGCATACAATAATATATTCAAGATACGGTCAATTGACTTATAATGATTGGAAGTAAGAAGAGGCAGAAATAATGGCCAGAATTTCTCACCGATTTCATCAATAACCGTCATATGTTCTTCGATAAAATCAAGAACTTCTTCAAATCTCGGATGATCCGGCACAGAAACAATGTTTATGACCTCATCAGTCGTCATCTGTGGTATTTCGAACTGTATTCCTGAGATTGCTGAGTTTTTCAGCTTCAATTCTGAAGGAGGGAACAAATTGTTCTCTGGAAACACGAATTCGACAGGGGAAGTGAATGAATCTGATATAGTGGCGATCTGGAAGTTCTGTAGGTACCTGCGGAAGGCCTGTGGAACAGATCCTTTGAATGAAACTTCTCCGGACAAGAATTTTGCGCAAATCTCTGAAAAAGCTGGTCTCTGTTTCGGATCTTCGGCCCAACATGAGTTAATTAACTTCATTAATGGAATTGGGACGTCATTTGGCAAAATTGGCCTTTCTCCCTTTTGCGCAACACAGTAAACGATTTGTACTGGTTCTTTATCGCCAAATGGGATATCGTGGGTCAACATTTCCCATAAAATGATGCCATAACTGTATACATCAACACTTTGATCGTATTTTTCAAATCTGTGAAGTTCAGGAGCCATGATAGCTGCTGTACCGACATCCTGATTAATGGCTCTTGATTTATTTGACGAAGATGTACCAAAATCGATGATTTTTGGTAATAATTGAGAATCTAGCAAGATATTTAGTGTCTTTAAATCTCTATGTATAATATTTCGAGAGTGAATGTATGCCATTCCAGAAGCAATTCCAAAGGCAATTATTGTTAAATCTGTTGGAGATAAACTTACTTGAGGGTTTTGATTGTGTAGTGCATCGTATAGTGATCCATTTGATATATATTGAGTCACAATACATAATGGCTTTTCATTTGTATATCCAATGAAAGGAACTAAGAACTGCTGGCTTAGTGACGCATGAAGACTTATTTCTGACATTGTTTGCTCTGATAACTCATCAGCAAATAGCTTTTTAATCGCGACTTTAGTGTTGGACGGAATATAATTTCCAATCCACACTTCTCCGAAGCCTCCTGAGCCGATAACCTTCTCAAAAGTCAGGTCCTCCGCTTTAATTATCTTTGGCTTCCGAAACTCTTCCTTCTCGTATGGAGAATGGATATCAGGAGCCTTCATCTTTTATTTTTGAGAGGTTTTTAATCGTCAATTTATCTTCGATGCAATTTTATTGACGAATTCGGTATTAATTTCCAGTTAGCTTGCTGTTTCTCGTAGTTCCATATCGAATTTTTCAACCTTTTTCATAGAGCGCTCCGTCAAAATTTTGGAAGCGTCACTTTAAAAAAAAACTGAGAGAGGGTCAAAGTTGCTATTTGTCACTTTTCCACAAGAATATAATGGGGAAAAAGTTATCATATAGTTGATCTCATTCACTGAGGTGAGAGATGCATGTAGTGTAATGGGATAAACAGTGGGATTGCTGCTCTAAGTCCTAGGTTCGAGACACATTGGCTTCATTTTTCTCTTTTTTATTGACGTAAACTATTCAATTTTTGTGTTCTCCATTCAAATTTCAGAATTTTTTTTGCAGATTTCACGCTACATTCGAAGTTACCTTTTGTAATAACCACCACTGCCTACGAAAGACGAAAGTGTGTCACGATTTCACCCGGAAATCCGACGGTTGTTTAAGAGTAAGCACTTTTGGCACCTACTCAAAAAAAACTCCGATTGTTATTCCTTACACAGAAACCATTTTGATTAAGTAAAAGATTTTAAACCTGATTCCACTTAAGCTGTCTTATATGTTATCAATAATCAAATCTACTTTCGGAATGATTTTTGATTTTGATTAGATATTCATTTGTAAATAAACGGCTTCAGTTAATTATACTAACATGAGAGTCATAGTAAAAGAAAAATGCATGCACACTGTCAACAATGACTTTCAGAAGTTTGAAATAAGAATATTTTTTTTTGATATCATTCAAAATTATTGCATTCATATCATAATGACTCACACACATGTCAAATGAAATAATTAAATAATAATTTCAATGAAAATCTATTATGAACTTTTAAATAATATATAAAATACAAAATATATAAGTTAAGAGACCATTTGTGAAGCGTACTGTAACTCAGCGACAGAATCTGATATTGAAGGAAGGAAGATAGGTCTCAGATATATAATAATCATGTCAATAATAACAATAGTTCCAACAACAAAAGGAATTGAGAACCAAATTCTCGGAATGTTGAAAATTACGTTCAAAACTCCAATGAGTGAAGGATCAATGAATGAGTATATGAACTCTATCAAACAATACACAATGATACACAAAGTGTACAATACTATGTGTACAATAGTGATTGTTTTGAATCTAACTAACAATTCGAAAGTGAATACAAACAGAATCGTCCATCCTGTGATCTGTGTGAATGTTGTTAAGTCAAATGTACTTGAATTATTTCCTAATAAAACAGAATTTGACTCAAAATACGAATAGAAGAAAATCAGAACAGTATGGAAGAAAGCAAATATGTACCACATTATAACTACACCATTAGATAAACCTCCATCCAGTTGTAAATCTCGATATACTTGAGGAACTGCCAAAACATACCTCGCAGCAACGTCTTCCTCGAATATACAGATAAAGAACAACTGTGGGATGGTTAAAATGGTGTTGAACATCGAAAGAAATCCGCCATCTAAACAAGATGTGGCAGAAAATCCATTAAAGAAGCCGAAATAGATCTGAAGTAACGCATTCATCGTATTCTTATAGAAAGTCAGTAACACTAGAAGAGAACAACGGTTCACACACCATCTTCCGTGGACAATTAACAATCTTGCGATATGTCTGAACGAAGGGATAGAGAAATCAGAGGACATAACAGCTTCTGAGCCTTCCTTACCTTCAACGCCAATACCAACATTGGCTGCTCTTAACATATCGACGTCATTTGATCCATCTCCTATGGCAAGAGCGCATTTTGTTGGGTTGATCAGCATGAAGTTCCTCACAACATCTCCTTTCTGGCTTGGTTCGCATCTTGCGCATACGACTGAGTTGCATTTTTCAGCTAATTCGAAGAAATTTTTGATTTTTTCGTGTTCGGCGCTCAACAAATATCGTAACGTTGTGCCTTCTACGGCCAACAATGTTTTTTCTGGGTTCAAAATTTGAATGGTTTTGAAATCATCGTCAATGTCACTTTTATTGATCGGAACAATTTTGTGTGTTTTATGGGCCAAACCAGATGTTTGCGCGATACTTAGAGCTGTATCTAGTTTATCACCTGTTAACATCCATACTTTGATGTTTGCCTGTCTTAATCTTTGCAAAGTTAAAGCAACTTCGTCTTGTAACTCATCATCAACTCCTGAGAAGGCGAAAACCTCTAATTCTATTTCTACTTCATCAGAGAGTTCTTCCATGAGTCTATCTCTATCATCAATTGACTCTTTCGCCTTATTATACTTCGAAAATATTTCCATGTCTTCTTCTTGAAGAATTTTCCTTGCAAAGACTAATGTTCTCAATCCAGCATCTGTAATTTCATCAAGAGACTTCTCAAAGTCAGCATCTATCTCAGATCTCGGCAAAACTGTTGCATCAGCACCTTTTACAAGCATTATATAGTTTTCATTCTCATCTTTGTATACAACAGACATCCTTTTACGCTTTGAATTGAAATCAAATACAATTGGTCGCTTAAATTTTTCTAATTTTCCTTCAATTATTACGTAAACTGATTTTTGAGTGCAGTTGTAGTATATATACCCGCATTCTCTTGCAAAGTGAAGGAGAGCGATCTCATCTGGCGAAGGAGACTGATAAGAAATGAGATAAGGAAATTTGGCGACAATTTCAGCCGGAGGAATATCTAAAGTGAATTTGAAGTCAGGGAACTCTTCCCTTATGTCTTGTATGTTGTAAAACGAAGTATTTGATAACGTTGAGGCTGAATTACATAAAACAACAGTTAATAAGAAATCTTTGACGTCTTTATCATCTTTGTGCTCTCTCATCCATCTCATGCATTCATCAGAAGCAGATACAAGTCGTTCTGAGTGTGTTGGCTGCTTCATGTACAATCCGAGATTTTTTGTTGAAGTCCTTTTGAATTTCGGACGTTCTGTGCCAAACAGAGCACTGTGGAATGCTATAGATTTGAATGTCATCAAGTTCTTCGTCAATGTACCTGTTTTATCCGAAAACATGTGAGTAACTCTTCCAATTGTAGCAACTAAGTCGGAATTTCTGCATTGTGAGCTGCTAGTTCCATCCATCATCGCTTTGTCTGCATTAATAGTCTGGGATAAAAAGAATCTGACGATATCCAGTGAAGAAAAAACAGATAATGGAATTACATTTGACAAAACAATGACCCATGAGAAAACTTGGAAGAAATAGTTGATGTTAGACATCTTTTCTATCTGTAAATAACCAGCATTTAAGTGGTTTTGCGTCCAAAAATAATTTCCGATTGTCATACCAACGCAAAGGAAGATTAGGACTATAGAAATCCTTATAACCATCTTGTCAAGGAAAGAATCCAACTCAGAATATTTGAAATGAGGTTTAGGTGCATTTAATGAAGTTTTTGTTTCTTTTCCTGTATAAACAATGACACCTACTGCGAATTCTGTTTTCCTGAGGACACAGTTCCTTGGAACGAAATTAGAAATATCTAAAGAATAAACATCTTTATCTGCAACAATTTTTCCGCGAAAATCTGTGAGATTTGGGTTTGGTAATGATGCATGTATATCAAATTCTCGTTTGTGAAGATCTTTTCCTACTGAAGTTTTGAATTTTAAGTTAGTTTCTCCATCCAAAGCTGCTGTTTCTATCCTACTGCGTCCATCTTTGGAGTGGCTGTATAGCATAACGAGATCTGCAGGGAAGGTGCAGTCATTCTCTATGTAAACCAAGTCACCAACACTAAGATTTTGGCATTCTTTACACGAAATTGTTCCGTCTCGGTTGATTGTCTTAGCAATTTGAGAATTAATTTGATGGTCAACCTTGTGGCGTCTGTAATCTTCATATCCGTTTTTCATTAAAGTGATAGAAAGCATGAAACCTAAAGATATGTAACCAGTCGTAGGATCAAGTTGAGAAATTTGCGGGATAGATTGTAATATTGCAACAGCGAGAAAGAAAATGTTTGCAAATCGATGAAATTGTTCATATAAGTTTATTGGAATGAAATTCCACCATTTATAGTGGCTTGTTATGATCTGATTTTCAAATTGTTGCGGATTCTGATTTGGCGAATGAATAATTCTCACTGTATCAGCTTGTTGAGAATTATCATTCATCAAAAAATGAAAAAAAGTTCGTTGAAACAAAGAAAATTTTAGAACAAATATCTGTTAATAAAATGCACCATGTTATTTATTCAGAAAATAAATTTTGAATATTTGAAAGGCTGGCGTCAAAAATTTTCTCACTGGGTTTTCGTCTATCAATCCCAGCTCATTATATACGCAACCAATCAAAAATCTGATATGGGAGTCCAAGGCTAACTTTTTGTTGTCTACCTAATAAAAGAGGAAGCAGCATTAGTGAGAATAATCGCAAATATTCAATTTAAATTATCTTTTTATTCTTAATTTAAAGTGACAAAAAGAATAAAAAAACCTATTCTAAGGCATGTTGTTATGTAAATGAGACTAGACATCATATTTTATGTTATGAAAAAAAAAATATTTAGAATTTTAGAACAAAATAAATAGAAAAAATAGCATAACTTATGGATGTGCGTATATTAAATTTAATAAATTAAGAGAAATTATTTTTGGCGCCAAAATTATTCGTTAACTCTCAAATTTTTCTGAGTCAATAAGCCGCCAAAAAGTGTCATTTCTTTATAGGAAAGGAAACCTATTTGACGAACAATCCGGACACTAGTGCCTCAGCGAATTTCCCCAAACCCACCAATCCCCTCCCTGCTGTTGTGCACCATCGATGGAAAGTAAGTCATCAATAGTCTCTTTTCCTTATTTCAAGCTAACGTTAGATCATTCATGAAAGAAATCATTGCCTTTCATCAGAGACTTTCGTTATAACTGCGCTGCTCTCAAGTTCATCTTGAGAAATTTACGTAATAACTGAATTCCCAAAGTTCTCTAGGTGATCCAAAACACTGTAGCTGCTTGAACTTTGAACGAGCCTCGCACCCCAGAGAATAGAAATCCCAATCTTGCTCATGTTTAGTTGAATTAGTCTGCAGCAGTACAGCTCTGATACCACAAGATCGTGATGTATACAAAGTCACAACGCTATTTGATTCAACAACTAGCTAGTTTTGACATCAAATTGCAAAATTTGACTTCGTTATGAGCTCTTTGTAGCAAAAATACATTACACTTAAAGACTAGTTGCTAGACTGTAGTAGTTTGTTCGTATATATCTATTTTCCCCAACGTATTGCATACTACATTTTGACAAGACTTGCAACCTTATAGTAACCTCGTTGGGAATTGTTCAAGCAAAGCGTAGGTAGTTAAGGTCGAGTAAGAGTTCTTCTTAAATCTTTCACTGAATGAGTAGGTGTTGGAAGAACTGTTCTCTAAAGCGATACAGTTGCGCTACATGTTCGTCAACTTGTCTAGAAATAAATATATCATTTGTTTTATACGTTTTTTCGTAATAAATCTATTTGTATTTGTTGTATTTGAGTATGAAGATAACAAAAACTACGGCATAAGACGCAGTACACTGGGCTTCGTTGCCATTTTATTTACCATGTTAAGAATAAACTTAACAGACATGCTTTGTTTTCGACGAAGCCATCTAAAATAACGTACATCTAAATAAAACTAAAAAACTGTAAAATTTATTTATTTGATAGTATACTTCAAATTATGCACTATACCTTCTAGAATTCTATAACACTCTTTGCATATAATTTTTTTTAAAAAAGTTATATCTCGACAAAAATATGATTTATCAATAGAGTATGTAAAATAAAACTCATTCGCAGTATTAAAAAATCGTAAATCTTTCCAAAAAAATTTTGAATTACAAATTTTAAAACTTAAAACAACATTTTTTGAAGCGAAAAAACGAAATCTAATTTTTTTTGGAAAATTTAGAATAAATAGAGCTCTTTAACTCGTCGAATACAAATTGTTTTCAAGTTTTTTTCGACCGGAAATTGAACTTTTAGAGTAGTAGTATATGTTGAAGGGTTTAGTGACTTTTTTTGTTACGTCTATATATAGATGAAGGTATATTTTTATATCTTCTATATATATAGATGATATAAAAATTTTTTCTTACGTTTTTTAAGTCATGAATTCGTAAGAAAGCGCGACATTATTAAATAAATTAGTAATAAATATTATATACTAAACACATTATAAAAAATTAACATTAATTTTAAAATAATTTATTTTTTTATCTTTTATAAAATAATCTATATATAGATGATGTCAGATATTCCGCGATTAATTAAACATTGTTTAAATCCTGAATGGGTTAAACTTCAATTTAAAAATGAAGATTGTGAATTATTAAATGAATATGAAAGCCAAAATAAGCTAATGAGGTATAAATATAATGATAAAGAATATTTAATTTCATGGAATCAATGGAGTCATAATCAAAGACCTCATAAACGAGAAGAAGAAATTGAAAATAATGAAATGGAAATCATTGATGACATTAAAGAGGATGGAATTCATATAAAAATAAGAAGTCTGTTTGACCTTAAGAATGATTTATATATAAAAATAAAATAAACTTCTTACGAAAAATTAAAACTTAGTTATGTTTATTATTTTATTTTTTTATTTTGTATGAAATGAGCGTCAAAACTAACAACGTTAAAAAATTAGGATTCACATGTTGTAAACAGAAATTCATCAAAAGTGACACCTCAGAAAAGCTAAAATATTGAATTTTTGGAACTTTTGATAGAGCACGTTTTTAAATATTAATTAAAGTAAATGTATATTTTGTAAAGATTCTTTTTAATAAAAAAATAAAATTTTGAAGAAGAACACAAAATCTTCTGAAAAATAATATCACATAAACTCATATTATTTTCTAATATATAACTATTTTATATAAAAATCAAATTCAATGATCTTAAAAGCGAAGGATAAACCTCAAAATTTACGAATATAATGAGTGGGAATATAATGCTTATCTATCATAAAACCATATGAAATATTAATTTTTGCTTTACGCCTAATTTTTGACGACAATTAGCAAAAAATGTTAAATGTTAACACTCAGTCCATTTGAATATGAAAAATAAAATTGACTTTGATTAAATGTTTTTATTTATCATGCAATTCTTCTTGCGACCAAAGATTTGAATAAAAGTTCAAAAAATAAGATAGCTTAAAAAATAATATACGGTAGTGTTTACTAATAGATGAATAGTATATAAATTCTATTAAAATGGATTTGATCCAAAAAAATATAAAACCAAAAATAATTGTTATAATTTAAATGAAGAAGGAGATTGGGACAAAGTTGCAATTCGGCACTTTTTGTAAAAAAAATGGGGTCATACTCATAATGAATAGAGACTTATAGCCAAGTCTTGATATCATGCAGGGAGAATATACATTGATAAGCAATTATATTTTATAGTAGTAGTATTCAGAAATTCTTACAATTTACAATACAATTTTCAAAAATGGATAAAGACTAATAGCCAAGTCTTGATATCATGCAGGGAGAATATACATTGATAAGCAATTATATTTTATAGTAGTAGTATTCAGAAATTCTTACAATTTACAATACAATTTTCAAAAATGGATAAAGACTAATAGCCAAGTCTTGATATCATGCAGGGAGAATATACATTGATAAGCAATTATATTTTATAGTAGTAGTATTCAGAAATTCTTACAATTTACAATACAATTTTCAAAAATGGATAAAGACTAATAGCCAAGTCTTGATATCATGCAGGGAGACTCTCTACAAATACAAAAATTGATTATCATAAGGAAATACAAATTTATCAATTTTCATGTGAAAATTACATAAATTTGTTCTCCAATAAATAGCAATAATACTTTGAATGTTATATTAAGTAATATAGCTTCAGGTAAATAAGCTTACACTTCAAAAATATACTGTTTATTCATTAATTTTAAAAAAAGTCCAAATTATCTAATCTTGCTTACTCTTCCTTTAAACTTCTTTGTGCCAAATTTAATATTGCCTTCAAAGATGGAATAAGGACATTAGGTTCAATCCTTCGGCTTTCGACAATTTCCAAAATGTGTTGAATTAATTTCAAACATTCATCGTGTTTTGAAGCTCTTTGCTCAACAATCTGATTACCTGCCCTTGTAAGAATTCTTACTGCTCTTTCTTCATTCAAAACATTAGCGACTTGAACCTTAATAATCGCATTTGGAATCACAACAGTGATGAGAGTTATGACGATGTCATCAATGCGCTCATTTTTCTTACCCAAGAAAAATGTTTGCTTTAATTGATGAAAGTGTGATTCCGCAATGTTATTCGTGGAATCACCTTCTCCACGATATAACATCATCCAATGTTCTTTGGTTCTTCTCCATTGTTTATCGAAATACTTCAAAGCGCGCGGTTCTTCTTCTTCTAACATTGTTGTCAAGAACTCATATGTTTCATCAGACTCTTCAGCCAGCTTTTCTGCATTCGTTGCATCTGCACGTAATGTCAAAAAGTCCATTGCTAAATAGAAGTTCTCAAAATTCTGTGGATTGTCAAAATAGCTTCCAACTTTTGCACATGCGCGTAAAACATGCACAGCGCACCAACTGAGCTGCGCAAGAGGAAATCCGTCCTCAATTGCGCGAGCAATGTTTAGCGCACAGTCAGCGCTCCAATGCTGTGGATCCAGGTGCGCAAACTCACAGAATTTCACCAAACATTCTTGAATTTTTTCAGATGTCTGAGGGTTCACTAAAAAATAGCAAAAGGGGAAAATTGTGTTTTGACTTGTTTTCATTGTTACTGCAAACAATTGGATCTTTCCTTTAATTAAAGAATGAGTGGAATCGACGTGGAGAGGGTTATCAATTCTATTCACCAATTCTTTTGCAGCAAAAGGTGCATATATGATTGTAAACTCGGAAAAATCTCCATTGTAATCAAATTGAACGAGATCATCTGGGCACTCTTCCTGTAAATTATTCAAAAATGCTTCTAAAGAAGTGTAAGGATCGTTTGATAATCTTTGTGCAATAATCTCATCAAGGCGATAAAATTTGTGCTTTAAAGCATCAGTAGACTGCGCGAAAAGTTTCATCGTTTCTTTGTTATTCGTATCAATTCCGAACTTATCAAAAAATGCTTTTTG